AAAATTAATTTATTTGTGCTTATAATGCTTTAGAGAAAGCGCGTCAGCCGCGCGGCCTCAGGGGGCGGCGGCGAAAATGGGCCCCGCGTCCTCGAGCCCGCTCAGTTACTGCTGGTGGTCCAGCGACGCCCCTTCCCGCCTCCCGTACCCCCTAGAGCCACAGTGCCCTTCCCATCCGAACTCTTCTCGCCCATTCAACCCGCTGTCAGCCCATCTCCCACAGAGCCCCCTCCCCTCCCTGTGGAGGAACGCCCCCTCTTTACAGGTTCCAAGCCATTCAACCTCCCAAGTCCAAGCCCTCCTTCCATCAGAGCTCTTCTCCATCCGAGAAATTTGAAATCTTTTCGCTCATGGGATCTTCCACCCCCATTTCAACAGAACCCCCTCCTCGAGCGGAATCTCCGTTTAGTCCAGCCCTCTCCCCAACTTAACCCTCTTGCCGCTCAAACCCCACTTGATTCTAGCACCAACAGAGTCCCCTCCCCATGCAAACAACCAGGACAACCGAACCCTCGGGCCCCCTGCCCTCTTTTTAATCGGACGTCCTTCCCCACCCGAAGGTTCTTCCGTAGCATCCACCGACTCATCGTTTGATCCTGAAGAAGCGGCGCACCGCCCCGCGATCCTACTTCCAGGCTGCCCCAAATGCCCCGACCGGCCCCTCCCCCTCGCCCGGGTGCCAGGGCTCTACTTCCAGAGGTGGTGTGCATCGAATCCGGGGCACTGCGTTCCCGGGAGAGGGAAAGAGGAGGACACAACACTGCTGCAGGGACCCCCCTCCCTTCCCTCAAACCCCGGCCGGCTACTGGCCGGCTGCGTTGGTCTGCGGCAAGAGCTGCGGTCGCTTGGCGGGGAACTGCAGCCGGGGGGGTGCCCAGCGGAGGGTTTCTGGGTCAGGCGACGACTCCGGGCCCCGGCCGCGTACCTCTCTTGGCTCGGCCGATCTGGCCCAGCTTGGGGGGTCGCTTGGCCTGGTTACCCGTGAAGAAGGAGTTGGTGTCCTGCAGGCGGCAGCTGAAGGAGAGATCGGAGCCCTCGGGGTCGGCGCCGAAGCGGCCCATCTTGTCCTCACTATAGGGCAGGATCTCGGACATGGCGGGCGAGGGGTGGGCGCGAGACTGCGGCGGGGCACGAGTGGCGGGCTAGCTGCCGGACCGGCCCTAGCTCAGCTGGGGAGCCGGCGGAAGGATGAAGTCATGCAGCATCCGGGGCTGCGGAGCCAAGCGGGGCCTCCTCCCCCGCGCCTCCGCCTCCCGGGCCGCTGGGCAGGCGGCGGCGGCGGCGGTG